TTTTGAAGGATATGTTTGAAATCAATAGCAATTTTAGTAATATACTTATATGTAGAATTACATTACATATTTTTTGTTGTTGTAGGCTCGATTAAATTGATGCAGCAAAACAGTTAGTCATGCTCTAATTGATATAAAGTAAAAGACTTAAATATGTCACCCAACTTTTAAAAAAGATAATCTTATTTATGATATTAATTTGTTAAAGAAAAAGCTTATTCATGTTTTTTTTTTAGCTTCAATTTTGCAAAACCATTTTTACACCCCTAAACATAGTTTAACACTTTTCGGTTTAAGTTTTTTTGGATCAAAGTACTCTTTTTTCTTCTTCCTCCTCCTTAAAAAACACATCAAGAACATAAACAAGTCCCAATTTTTTAACATTTTTAATTTTTCATGAAATCATTTCAATTTTCGGCTACATTATTAATTAATTTTTTTTAAAAAAATAAAAATTCTAAAATCATCTTTAGATTAGAAGAAATTCACCTTATTTAAAAAAATATTCCAAAAGAATGAAACAACGCCAAAGTTTCAAAATTTTACTTTGGTTAGTATTTTTGTAGTTGTTTTTGCCATTCCCCTAGTGTTTCTGAGTCTATGTTCAAAACCTCATATGATTTGAAGTTGCTGACAAAATTCTACCATTGAAGTTTTGAGTTAGATTAAATTTAAGCTCAAAAAACCTAAGTTTTGATATCTTGCTCGAAGGATTATTCATGATTCGAGCTCAAAAAGATTGAGTTTGGTATCAAGCTCAAAAGAAATTAAGTATAAAAGGTATATATGCTCTACATTTCAGACTATAGTTATATTAATGTCTCAAAAATATAACGAAGCGTATCTACATATCGTTTACGATATATTTCTCTTTTTTTCCATTAAAAAGTATTTTTTAAAGAAACCGAAAGTTTTAATTTTTTTCCGAGAAGCAGAAAAATTGCTTCTGTATCTATTTAAAAGTAGTTTTACATGTTTGCCAACCACTTAATTTTTTTTTCAAATAAGTGTTTCCAACATCAATGACAAACATATAATTAGGTTGATTGAATATAAAGTTTTTAAAACTAGTATAATTTTCAAAATAAATAAATAAATTGGTGCTTCATCCCATGTAACCTAACTAATTTAAATCGTATGGTCTATTAAAATGTGGTTTAATGAGTGCAGTTATAGAATGTCCCAAATGTCAAATAAGAAGTAGACACCCTTTAGTCTATTACACGTCTGGCCTTAGAATCCAATTTTTTTTTTTTGGTTAATTAAGGATTTGCTTGCATTATCTGTTTGATCCGTTACCATTTCTAATCCATTATTACCAAACTCATCACCCACCAAAACATCCCTCCATCTTTCTTATTATCCAGATTTTGTACTCATAATAACATAAATTGTACTGAATCTTATCACATATTCTTTACGTTTGATGATTGTACGTATATTGTATGGTAAGTAGATCTCAAATCTTCATCTGGGGTTGTCTAAAAATGGAATCTTGCAGCAAATAAACAGAGCCACGTTGAATGAATGGCGAGTTAGTGCCCCAGAAGGAGAAGGGCCAGCAAAAGGTTGACCTTTATTCCTTTGGGATTGATGGGGTTAAGCGCTAGAGCTTCAAGATTACCTTCTTCTGTTTTTCGACCTAAATCTCTGCTTCCCAGCCACCTTTCCACCATGAGGTCAGGTTTCACTTTTATTGCAGCTTCAATTATTAGTATTTTCTTTATGGGTTTTAGGATTCCCTGTTTCAATTTATATATCAACCTTACAGCTTTTGGTGTTGACTTTACAGGGCTAGAATATTTTCAAGTTTAAAAGACTTACATTGATCTCTTACTTCAGTTTACCTGCAAAAAGTTGAGTTGAAGTTGATGCAAATGAATGACCTAAGTGCAAAAAGAGATTTAATTTATGAAATTTTGACGAACTTGTCAAATTACAAGACCTTTTGAGTTTTAAAAAATTTACCTTGAGCAAGGGAACCTATTTCAGCGTTTAGTTTGTCACCGTGTGTCTTTCCTGTTTCTTCAATGTTATAAGCTTTCACACCTCTCCTCCTCAGAGTAGAACATGTCGTACTGCGCAGCAAGATTTGATGTTTTGTCAATTAGTAGTCAATGAAACTGCTCATTTGATGGAATTTATGGGACTGATCGACATTCACTTCGAGTGCTGTTATAGAAAGCATCATTAGTCTCATTTTGAACCTCACTGAGATGGAGAAAAATGGATCCTCTTGATACTAGCTGAAACTTTGAATCTGGACCTCTTATTAATCACTCATTTGTATGTCAGTTTGACACGCTACTTAATTATCATACATTTTCCTGTTTGTTGCTTTGAAAAATATTTTTAGCTTGAATGTTCTCTTACTTCGTGTCTAAGTTGTCGTTCTTGTTTGAACACCCTCCTGAAAACTCCAACTTTTTAGAGAACATGTTGATAGCCACCATATCCGATCAATTAAGCAGTGTTGTCCTGTGTCATGTTGATAGCAGCTTGCAACTCACAATTTGAAGGCTGCGGTTTCTATCGCTTGTTTTATTTGACTTCAGATAGGGCTTGTACAATGTTACATCAATCAGCTGCAAGAAGCACTTTGTTCAAGTCTTTTCTTTGAGAAATTAATATTTTTTTGTAACTTTATTCAAGTCTTATCCTTCTGCTGATCAAATTTTTGATCGTACAACAAGCTGATATTTCCTGCCACAGAAAATGCAATCCCCTTTGTTTCAGTTCCTAATATATGCTGATTACAATCCAACTTGAAAAACTGTTTAGCCCTAACAATGTACAATTCCGTATATTTCAATTAATTTGATTTTTGGAAGAAGATAGTACGTGTTACTGTAGCATTTCTACTTCTGATTTTAATATATTGCCCCAATACAGAACAAGGACAATTTTTGGGATCTCTATTTCCCTAATCATCATCAACATGGCCGCTATAATGGAGCGCGCTGATGAGAATCTCCTTCCAGCTGTTTATAAAGAAGTCAGTGAAGCTTTTACAGCAGGACCATCTGATCTTGGGTTTCTCACATTCATTAGGAACTTTGTGCAGGGAATTGCTTCTCCAGTGGCAGGTATTTTAGTTTTAAATTATGACCGACCCACGGTTCTTGCAATTGGTATCCTCTTCTGGGCCCTATCAACCGGTGCAGTGGGTGCGAGCAAGTATTTTCTGCAGGTTGGCTTCTGGAGAGCTGTAAATGGCTTCGGTCTGGCAATTGTGATACCTGCTTTGCAGTCCTTCATAGCTGATAGCTACAAGGATGAAGTCAGAGGGACGGGATTTGGGTTTCTTAATCTAATTGGTACTGTGGGTGGGATAGGAGGTGGAGCTATAGCTACAGTTATGGCTGGTCATGAATACTGGGGCATACCAGGATGGCGCTTTTCCTTCATCGTGATGGCAACTTTGAGTTGTTTCATAGGATTTCTTGTCTTCTCTTTTGTCGTTGACCCAAGGAAGAAAAGCAGTGGCCAGCATGATATTTCAAAACAGTCTGACAGGTATATACACCTTTATGTTCATCAGTTGTTCCATTTCCTATGCTGTTGAGAGTTTTCTACTGTTTGGTGTTGTTATTTTTTATGCTTTCTCATGCTAGGGATGAATTGATAGAGAAAGGACACTCAAATATCAATACAGTGTCAATTTGGATGGAGTCCTGGACAGCCATGAGAACTGTCATCAAACTCCAAACGTTTCAGTTCATTGTTTTGCAGGGTCTTGTAGGATCCCTACCTTGGACAGCCATTGTTTTCTTTACATTATGGTTTGAATTAATCGGTAAGTGGCCCCTTTTTTTAGGAATTAGCATGTTGGGTTTTCTTGTGCTGATATAAATTTTGTTTGAGTGTTAACTGCATTAACGGTGATCATGAACTTCTGATGCAGGTTTTGATCATAATAGTGCAGCCACACTTGTCGGTCTATTTGCTGCTGGATGCGCATTAGGATCCTTCTTTGGTGGAGTAGTTGCAGACAAAATGTCTCGAATATACCCCCATACAGGACGTGTCATGTGTGCTCAATTTAGTTCTTTTATGGGCATCCCATTCTCATGGTTCCTTCTTCGAATTATCTCTCCGTCTATAAGCAGCTATTCCACATTTGCTGTGACTTTATTCATAATGGGCCTCACAATCAGCTGGTGTGCTACTGCTACAAATGGTCCCATGTTTGCAGAAGTGGTGCCTTCAAAGCACCGCACCATGATTTATGCTTTTGATCGTGCGTTTGAGGGTTCATTTTCTTCTTTTGCTGCTCCAATTGTAGGGATTCTTGCTGAGAAAATGTACGGTTATGATGCCAAATCTGTTGATCCGATATTAGGATCTCCTAGGGAGGCTTTAGCGCTGTCAAAAGGTCTCTTTTCAATGATGGCCGTGCCTTTTGGTTTATGTTGCTTGTTTTACACCCCTTTGTATTGGACATTCAAGCAGGACCGTGAGAATGCAAGACTTGCTGCTGCAAAAGAAACAGAGATGATATGACGTTCTTTGTTTATTCATTCTTCTTGGATCTTTGGGCTCATCTGAGAAAATGCTGCTGCAGCCTGTAGGCCAAAACAACACTGTTCCCTTCTAATTTTGCAGATATTTCATTTGGTGGTTAGCACTAGGACGGCAGATTAAGTCTCCATTACACTTATATCATCTAACAGATCATACTCAAAATTCAAACATATAGATGCTGCTGTTGCCTGCCATCATCAGGCACTCCAACATTGAAGTAGTTGCTTCGGCATTGGCACACTGACAGGGTTACCTGTTTGTCTATGTTTTTACATGTAAATCCTGCCATTTTTGAAGTAACAAGAAAACTGCAGAACTTTAACATAGCATCCTCTTACCACGATTATGCTGGTACTATATTTGACATTGAAGTTGAAGATTATGATATAAATGAAAAGCTCAAACACCACATCTTGTCAATATCCCACTCTCTTAAACGGAATTTAGATAGTTGAGTTTCTTCTTAGGCAATGCTCTTTCGTCTATATATAACCATTCCATTTGTTTACTTTATGTTCATGACATGCTGTTCAGCCAGCATAACAGATACATCAATGGATACACGTCAAAGAACTTAAAGCTAAAATGACACACTCAGATAAGATGGCACTGCAAGTTTGCGGACACCATATACAACCCAGCACACCTCAAAATGATACAGCATCTAATCAGAAACACTATTACCAGCACCAGAGGACAGGTTACATGCATTGCGTGAAGCTTATATTCACTACAGTTCCACAATGCATAGCCCTTTTCACATTTTATTTAAACTCAGGATTATCTCTCAACAGCAGCAGCCTCGAGATTAAGGGGATCCTCATGGTTTGGTTCCTGCACAGGTATAGAATGGGATAAAGTGACTTTATATTTATTGCACATATGTATGTGACAAACTAATATGTTGCTGAGAACCATAATGTACCGTGAAACGAAGATACAATCCATGGCTAATTGTGTTGATACTGAGAACGGGTTTCAACCTTCTCTTAGTATGTTGAGGTATATATTACTCTCCAAATCGATATTAGGATGATATACCTGCATCTCACACAGAAAGCTAATGAGAGTCATCTTCTCTGGCTCATGTCAGAATATATGCAAGTGGAAGAGAAGGAAAAACAGTTGTGCCTTGGTCTTGCACTTGACTTTTGGTGGTTCACGTGGATATATTGATGGAACCTGGAAAGAGAATAAAAAATTTCAAATAAAGCATATGCCCTAGCCATCAGAAATAGCAAACAAAGGAACATATGATGTTCTCAGCAGTCCATCTTTACTGATCCTCAGAACATAAACAAAATCAAAATAGATGAACAGTATAATTCTCCATTCTCTTACATGGCACGATTTTCCATTTTTAAGAAACAACCGAAGTCAAAAAAGACTAGCCCATGTAAAGGAAAAATGGCCAGTGCACGCGTTCACGAAAATCTGTCCAACGAGTGTCTTCTTTCAAAATACTACAAATCACAACGTCTTATAATTAAACTACTAAAAAATTTTTAGAGTTTTGCAGGTAAGGTCTTCAAGAACAACTGCACATCTTTCCATTCAATACCTAGAAAGATCATAAGGAATATTGAAACTTTGAAAGGGTAAATTAGTACCTTGGTGGCACCAGCATCTGGGCTGCTGAAAACCAACTCCTCAACAACCCTTGTGAAATAATACAAGATAACCCCTGTGACAGAATTGAGCTCCAAAGCCTCAGGCATTCACTTAATGCTTCCCATCTCACTCAAAAGGTAAAAACAAATTCTTAAACATCCTCAACACACACTGCAAGAATAACGCAGTGTTTTAAAAAAGATTTCTTGAATGGCTGGGAAAGCATGCAAATCATCAAAATTATTGTATTTTGATGTCGCTGGTGTAAAGCAAGCATACAAAACCATCGTTAAAATGGACAGAACAAAAGGAAGCATATACTGTCTCCATAAGCTGGGCTAAACGTACACTAAGCACCAATATATGTATCCAAAAATAATCAAAAGAGCTCAACATACAGTAGTCATCATCATACTAGTTTTTCCAATTACAAGTAAAACCACGAAAAGTAAATATAAGAACATCTGTAAAAGGACACTAATGAACATAAACTGTAACAGCCAATCAGTTTTGTAATGCATGCAATCCTATAGACTACAACATCCATTCCAAGATATGAACATCATAGTTGTCAGGCAAAAGAACGTATATACAGCAGTATGAATACAAGAGAAAAGATGATGTCAATCCAACATTTTGCAAAAACATTACCATATCTTTCTCCCATCAACACCAGTCCATTCCGTGAGAAAAAAAGTACAGCCTCAGAAGATGAAGTAAAATAATAAATTGAGCAGAACTTTCTGCACATCAAAATGCATTAGATCAATGTCAAAATCATTCACCTTAACTTTGCAGGTCCCATTGCCTATAGCAACAGATACCTGGTGGAAACTGGGTTAAAGTTCAAACTAGGAGTACACTACTTATAAGAATAATAAACACGAAAAGAAGTCATTTAACTATGATGATCTCAGCAGCCAATCTCTACTAATCATCAAAACATTAACAAAATCAGAAAAGATTCCCCTTTTTTCTCTTAGCACAATTTTCCATTTTTAAGAAACAACCGAAGTCAAACACTAGACCATCTAAGGGCACTGAGATCGTTTGAGAAAGTCTGTCTTACTTCATTCAAATTACTATAAAACACACCTTAATAATTAAACTTTTTTTTAAGCTGTGAGAGTGGGGCCTTCAAGGTTGTTGAAAACCGTTTGAACATCCTTAACATATCCTGCAAGAATGACAACATAATTTTTAGAAAAAAGAACATATTTCTTGAATTTAAGAATTTCTTTCATTTCATTAAAATATGCCAACAAATTGATTACCAATGTAGTAGCTTTAAAAAGCTAACAAGTTCATGAATTTTCTTTCTTTTTCAATGGATGGAAGAATACCAAGATAGATAGAAAATTGAATTAGGGTTTAGGGTTTAGGGTCTTGATCGGAGTTGTCAATACTAGTAAACCCCTGTCACTGCTGCTCCCCATCTCCCCTACAAAACGTAGAAAAGAACTTGGACATCCTTAAACAAATTCTTGAATTTCCTTCATTTCGTTAGAACAAGAGAGAGATCAGGTCCCCCTGTACTCTCCATATCATCTTTAGAACAAGCATTAAAATTGAGAGCATTGGCCTGTCCTTGTTAACATTGGACTGTTTGGTTTCACAACCAAAAGAAGCTAGAAACGTGGTATTTAATTGTTCTCCGGGAACAGCTGTTGAGGAAGGGCCTTGCCTTGTCAGGGGTCCTCTTTATACTTTGAAATCCTATACGATTAGTAATAAATAATGACGTGTAGCCAGTTTTAACCTATTAATTTCATCCACATTGAAGTTCCAGAAAAAAATGATGAAATATTTTCAATTATTTTTTTTCCAGAAAACATCCCAAACCAATTCTCACAAAACAAACCCTAACACAAACAATTCTATAAAAACATATCCAAAGACCCACATTCGTTTCCCAACCCCAAACCATATTAAAACATAAATCCCAACAAAAAATCTCACCTTAAATTCCACAAATGTCTTTGAAGGCTCCAAAAACAGTGGATATATCTGAGATCTATTTTGCTTCTCAATGTCAGATGCACTGCCAAAACTCATAGCTATGTTGTTAAGTAATTTATTTATTGGTCCTTTGGAAACAAATCTTGAATTGATATTTGCATTACGGAGGTCAAGGAAAACAAAGACATCGTACAAAAAACAAGCATCCAGTATAGTGAATATTAACCAAAGATTAGGTTTCTGTTTCCTTGACAACATACTAAAATAAGTGGATAATGAAATACTGAAGGACCTGCAAATTAATCCGTGGTTGTTAGGGAAACAACGTGTAGAAAAGATGACTTATCACATCTCTTTATCCATCAATTTGGGCATGTATACCCTCATTGTGTAAACATCAGGACCTGAGAGGCATCCTGAAAACTTGAATGAACCAGCGCTTGGATTCAATTTTTAAGGGAACCCAGATGAATCCCAAACCCACTGGACAACAGCAGCAAGGACAAGGAGAAGCACGTGTGCAAAGCAGGTCATCCTCACTGCATGCAAATGAACAAAATCTAAGAAACCAGACAGGAAATATCCTTAAATTAGCTAGTGTATCAAAGATGAACCTTTCAATATCAACAATTTTGCAGGACACAAAACGATGCGCAAGAGAAATTCTTAGTAGAGATCTTTCGGAGAATGCGAGACCCTATACTTGGACTTCAAAATTATATAAGCAAACCAAAAGATCAATCATATCAAAGTACAACTTTAGAAGTAGAAATATGTAAATCATTACTTTCTACTTGTTTGATTTTGAGGAAACTAGAAGTGTTCGGAGTGCATTTGCTTCCTTCGAACTGGTTAGTCGTAAAATATATCATGAACAATTACTGCAAAAAAACAAAAACCCAAGAAATTCTCTTATTTGCAAACAACAAACAACTCATGTAGGCTTATACAAAATTACCTTTTGTACCAATCATCAATTCAACGTACAAAACACTTGTTGTCCTGTAAACAATGGCCAAAACAAAGACCAGGTTAGTAGTTGTATGCCTATCCTAATGGATACTTCTTACAAAAACTCAAAAGAACTTTACCTCCTAAACCTTACAATATCCATTTGGCCTCCCATGGTAACAATTCCTACAAAGAAACATCAGAAATAGGGCTCAGAGCCTCTTGTGTAAGGCCAAAGCTTGCTGGGAAGGCATGCATATCATCTGAATGGCAGTACCAATTTTGCATCGCTAAAAATTCACAATTAGTCATACAAAATTTTTTGATGTCACAGGTGTAAAGAAAGCATATGAAACCACAGTTAAAATGGCGATGAAAAGGAAGCATAACAGAAGACAAAAGAAGCAGACACATTTATTGTCTCCATAAGCTGGGCTATAAGTATCGAGGCACCAATATGTATGTTCCAACTCAACTTCAGCTACAATAACTAATCAAAATAATTCTACATACATAGTAAAATTATAAAGAAATATTGAAACTTTGAAAGAGTAAATTAGTACACCGTGGAGGTACCTGCATCAAAGCTGTTTGAAACCAAGTTCTCAACAACCCTTGTGAAATCATACAAATTTTTATTGAACTTCCAAGGAAGAGAACCTACAAATCGTCATGGTTTTTTAAAAAGGAGCAGAGAGAGTAATAAGAACAAGAAAAGAGGAAGGTCATGTGTAATTTCACGAAAAGGATGGTTTGCTGAAGGGGGAAAGGAAACCGAACTTTAAGCCAAGACACGAATCAGCTCACAAGGTTAGAAATCTGTCATCGCTGCAAGCATCAGTTAGCCTTATGAGACAGAGAAGATGCATCATGAAATGAAACTTTCTCTTAAATCTCATATTCCCACCTGAGGTGCCACGCCAAGCAAAAAATTCAGCTCAAGACAGAACATGTTAAATTGATTTTTGAGTTATACCGGAGAGAGTAATAAGAACAAGAAAAGTAGGAAGTCGTATAGTTTCACCAAAACAGTGATTTAGTGACAAAAAAAAAATTGAACTTTGCAATGCCAAAAACGATCAGCTCAAAAGCTTGGAAACCCAGCATGGCTGCAAGGTATGCCTAGGGAACAGAAAAGAAAGACCAAAAAATGAAACTTCTCCCAAAATCTCATAAACCCAAATGAAGTGCCGTGCCAAGCAACAGTTCTTTAGCTTGACAGGAAAGAGGCAACATGTTTGATTGAACATCAATAAATGAAAACCTCCAAATCTTCATTGTGTATAAAACAGAGAGAGTGAGTAATAAGAATAAAAAAACAGGGATTACCTTTGTAATATCACGAAAAAAGGGAGTTCGATGAGGGGTGGGAAAGAAACTAAAGTTTTCAAAACATGAATCAACTCAAAAGCATAGGAACCTGTCATGGCTTCAAGCATCAGTTAGCCTTATGAGACAGAGAAGGAACACCATGAAATGGAACTTTCTCCAAAATCTCACAGACCCACTTGAAGTGCCAAACAAGCAACAGGTTTACAACTCAACAGACAACATGTTTGACTGCCATTTTGAGTTAAAACAAAGAGCAATAAAAATAAGTGGAAGGTCATGTCTAATTTCACCAAAAGCATTGAAATCCGTTGTGGCTGCATGCATCAGTTAACCTTATGAGCTGAGAAGAAACACCATGATATGGAAATTTCATTCCAAAATCTCATAGACCCACCACCCGAGGTGCCGTGCTAACCAACTGTTTAATCAGGCTCCACAGAAAACAAGTTTTATTGAAATTCCACGGAAGACAAAACCTCCACCATCCTCATGATGGATCATCTATTAATAGTGATGTACGTATTAAGTTTTAAAAAGTACTACAGAAAAAAACAAAATAGCCTTGAAGATGAATATAGAGTTAAATTTGAAGTAGCTGATGATGTTAACCGGGTCTTATATCAAAGGTTATTTTGAGAACTTCTCCAGGTGAAAAACTCAGAGCAAGACATTGCAGAGGTCAAGATTCGTCAGGAGATTCAGAAAAATCTTCATTAACCAAGGACATTCTGACACATGCATTCTCATGGTGAAGAGAATCTTAAGAATTATTTGCAACCAAGAGCTATGCTTTCCTCTAGGGTGGATGGGGACTCGCGTAAATGTATTGATGCTTGTAATCAAGGTAAAACAGATTGATTTTTTTAAGGAAGAAGAAAAAGCAGAAGAAGTCATTCAGCTCCTCCATTTTACCAAGACAAAAAGAGGCATTGTAATCTCTAATACTATCATGATTAATACGAATGCATTCTAAGATTATCTTGAAAAGTAGGATAACTGAAAAGACTCAGCTCTTATTCAGGTCAGGAACAGGGGCAGGAATGGTTTACCTTCTTTTGACTCCCCATCACATGTACTTGTGCACTTCCCTTGACCTTGTAATTTGCTCTTTTAGCTGTTAACAAGATTCATTTTCACACTTGGCCTGAAAAGAGAAACATCAGGTTGTGCCAGTAACTAATATATTTGATTGAGATAATATCATAAAGAGACTTAACCCTCTCAAAAATTTTGATAACTTTACCTTACATCACCTGGGGTGAAAAATTGATCACATTGATGTGATGATTGCCGTGGAAGCTCCGACCAGATAGCTTCTGCAGAATGATGCAATTTTCTTAATGCTACCCACATCCCTAAAAGCTAAAAAAACTTTTCTTTGATTTTTCTTGATATTTACAATGCTAACATATTCTTGAAAAATTCGATTTCTTTAATTCCTCAACATATGAACAATGTAGTAACTTCAAAAAGAAACCAATTTCTTGATTTTTTTCTTAAATCAAGAATTCCAAGTTCAGGAATTTACCAAGATAAGAGTAGCGAATCTTGGCAGTAGGTATTATCGCCGTCACTGGAAAGTTAAGCGCTGGTATTGAATAGTTTTGATCGTACATCGTCACCGGAGTGTTAAGGGCCGGTAGCGTACAACTTCAGCAGAGTAGCGTATGAAGTTCCCCGGTCTTCTGTAATTTGAAATAAGGAGAAGATAGTACGTGTATTTATACACGCGGAAAAATCTCAACTCTTTTTAAAATATAAATCAACTTTTTTTAATAATACATTATTTAAGAACCCGTGTTTATTAATTAATATTTTTATTAAAAAAAAGAATCAATGTATTATAATATTTTTATTTGATATCGTTTATAAAGATTCTGGTTTGTCTATTGCAAAATTTTAACGATAGTTAATTTTTATTTTGAAATTTAAACATATACTATGAGATGGTACCCCTAATACTAACGTAATATATTAAATTATATATATTATTAATAATGTGAAATTTATTATCATAGTATATGACTTAAAACACTTTTTTTGTGCAATTTTATAGATCGATTTAGAATGTAAAATTTATGATTCAAAATTCTAATCATAAGTTGTGACATTATAAATTAATGTGTCATACATACTAAAAGATTTCTTTAAAAAAAATATAGAACTTAGGCAAAAGTCTCATAGCTGCCTTATGACTCCAATGACAAGTAAAACCGCAAAGTAGTATTTTCTTTATGATCATTGATTTTTTTTCTGTTTCAATTTATATATGAATCGTACAAAGAACCTTAAAGTTAGTGGTATCATACAGTTTTTTTGTTTGTGCAAGACATCTGTATCTGAATGACAGTAGTCTCCGAAGCAACCTGCACACTTCATTGATATCGGTTTCAACCAAGATGTGTATAATTTCTTTTATCATTCAAACAAGAAGCAGACCCCAAGAAAGAGAAAATAAAGGAGATCAATATTTTCCAAATACCTAATTGATGATATTTATACAAAATAAATATTCGCTAAAATTTATATACTCCATAAAAATGAAGGCATTGCAAGTTTGCAGACACCATATGATACAGCATCTGATCGGAAACACTTATTGCCAGCATCAGAGGACAGGCTACAGGCACCGCGTGAAGCTTACATTGGCCACAGTTCCACCAAGCATAGCCTTCTTCACATTTGATTTAAACAACTGGGGATTATCTCTCAACACAGAAGCAGCCTCGAGATTAAGGGGATCCTCATGGTTTGGTTCCTGCACAGGTGGATGAAGTGACTGTATACTCGTTGTGTGTATATATATATGTGTGACAAACTAAGATGCTGCAGAGAACCATACTGTACCTCGAAAAGAAGATATAATCCATAGATAATTGTGTTAATGTTGAGAACAGGTTTCCAATCTTCTCTAAGTACGTTGAGGCATACATTACCCTCCAAATCAATATTAGGATGATATACCTGCATCTCACACAGAAAGCTAATGAGAATCATTTTCTCTGGTGCATGCCAGAATATATACAAGTGGAAAAGAAGGAAAAACAGCTGTACCTTGGTCTTGCACTTGACTTTTGGTGGTTCATGTGGATAGATTGATGGAACCTGGAAAGAGAACAAAAATTTTCCTCCACTGCAACAACAAAACCAGGTTTGTTTGGATGAGAATCGACACGATTGTGCAGTCATTACATTAACTGAAAACTGAGAGGGCAGAAAACCAGAATGCAGCTACATGAACAACTATGCTCTATATACAAGTCCTGAACTCTATATTAAGTGGAGCGGGGGAGTAGTAATCAGTTGTGCAGTAGGAATTACTTACGCATAATATCCACCACCAGGCTGAATTTTTATCTCAAAGCTCATCAACTTATCCTTTCCATCTGGAAATGATATTGTACAAGAACGGGGCAGGTTCAGCTCGGTAATGTCTGCAAAAAGTGAGTTGGAAGGGGGTAAGTCTCAGGTGAGAGTGTTTCACCATAACAAAGACTGAAAGGAAGTTTCATATGAAACAACCGATAGACCACGAAAAGAATAATACAATGGAATACTGCACTCACAGTCTAGCATTCTCAAACAAATTCAGACACCCAAAAACAAAAAAGTACAAAATGAGAAAAACAACATTCTTGATCAATCACACAATGTATTCGTACTTGAAAGAGAACAGGCTCCAAAACTATTTCCAAATATGGAAGATAGCTTTTTAAGTATGTAAAATAATAACACTGCTCATAAATCTCAATAATATCCTTCTTGGAATGCGTAAAGTAATAAGATCATCAGCATCTTCCCTTTCTTTTATTAATGCTGGAAATCACTAACACTACATGTTCACAGACAGATAATTTCCATAATTGACATCAGTTTGCTGATGCTTCACATCCAGCAGCACTTAATCTACAATATATTTTCATCCTCCTGGGACTGGAGGCCTAGATTTGACATTATAGACCAAACTACATAAAAGTTGCCTCGATGATTTCAAGCACTATGTACCAGCTAATAGAGAATCTAGCAAATCTTCCAATAGGGTGCTTCTATTGTCTGCTTTAGTATCTCTAGACTAGGTTTAGAGATTAAACTATCAATTGTCATGAGTTCTCCAACTAAGTGATTTATGGAGTTCCTTTCTACAATGAGAAAAATTTCGAATTCATTTATATGTTCTTTCATCCTTATATTCATGATAATATCATCCATTTACTAGATATTTCCATGCTGATTACTGCATCAAAGGACATGTTGCTCTGATAGCTGATTTTATATTTTCAAACGAACAAATACATGATGATCAAATAAAATACTCCAAATAACATTGCAAAAGATGTTGCAGAAACAACATACAGGAGTTAAAGACCATGCAAAAAGATAATGTGATCAAAACCTTTGCGTAGACGCAGTTCCCCAGCAGTCTGCTTGTTATAAGGGCCCCTAGCATTGCCATTCTCAGTATCCTCTCTTTGCTTCTCTTTTACTTTGAATAATTTAATCATTTTTTCCTAAAACAAATTACAAGTCATGAGTATATTTGTCCAGAAATAACTTGAAAAGTGAAACAGAGTTCACAAGATGCAGACAGTGTATTTCTACGAAGGATCATTAACCAACAGCAATGATGAAAGTTAAAGATGATTCAATTTTGTGTAGTCCACAGCTCTATTTGGGCAAACTAGGATATCTGTACCAGTCATGAAGATCAATGTAAATAACCTGTCGAAATCTCCTACATAAAGAGCAATGTACTTCTAAGCAAGTTCATGGTTTTGTATATGATTGGGAAGACTCGTACAACATATTTCAGTATGTACATTCTTATTAGAGCAAAACTCTTAAACTTTCTTTAGAAATCAACGTTAATTTTTGTCTCAAAATTTCAATAACTCAACATAAAGATCAATGTAGGTATCATAAAAAAAACCATTACTAGAGTCCTAAATTATGTGTAAAAGCCATTACAAATAAACAGATAAATAAAAATCCAATCTAATGTCAGCAACATAAAACAAAGAACCAGTACGGAAACCAAAACTTTTTCCTAACCAATATTAAGTGTCAATCAGCTATCCAAGTAACCAGTTGTTGTAGTCAATTATCCAAGAAAGAAACTAACCCCAAATCCCAAAACACACACCAAAAAAAAAAAGCATGTATATATAACGTAAAGGGTGGCAGAAAAAAAAAGAATTCAAGAAATCTAACTGAAATTCAATCTTTTAGAACAAGAACATAAATAACAAAACACAACAGCAATCTCTTAACTTTCTTTAGAAATCAAGGTTAAATTTTTCTCAAAATTTCAATAACTCATAGAGTAAAGATCAATGAAGGTATCAACAAAACCATTACTAGAGTCCTAAATAATGTCTCTGTATACTCTAGTTATGTCATAGTTGTTGTAGACAACTAGACAATAAAGAAACTAACCACAAGGGTGGCCGGAAAAAAAGAGAAAGAATTCAAGAAACCTAACCAAACTTCAATCTATTAGAACAAGAACATATACAAATAAAAATTCCATCTAATGTCAACAACATAAAACACAGAACCACTACAGAAACCCAAACTTTTTCCTATAAATATCCCCAATATTCAGTATCAATCAATTATCCAAGAAACCAATTGTTGCAGTCAATTATCCAAGAAAGAAATTAACACCAACAAAAAGCATGTACAACGAAAAGGGTTGCGAAAAAAAAATAATTCAAGAAACCTAACTGAACTTCAACCTAAATAACAAACACAACAGCAAATCTCTTAACTTTCTTTAGAAATCAAGGTTAAATTATTCTCAAAATTTCAATAACTCACATTGTAAAGATCAATGTAGGTATCAACAATACCATTACTAGAGTCCTAAATAAGGGTATGTTGTAGTCAACTATCCAAGAAAGAAAACTAACCCCAAAGGGTGGCGGAAAACAAAGAGAAAGAATTCAAGAAACCTACCAAAAACTTGATCTTTTAGACCAAGAAAATAAATAACAAAACCCAACAGCAAAATTAGTACATGCAAAGAAAATTCGAGTTGTTCAAGAAACGGCAATGGTGAAAACAAGTATACAGAAACCATAAATCCGAAAGTCAATAGTAGGATGACAAATTCGGGTGATGGTACCTTTTTGATTCTTCAGGAGAGAATTGAATGAAGAAAACCTTCAACGGAGACAAAAGGCTGGAAAAGTTGTTTGTATATATACTGTGTGAGAGAAAGCAGGGGTTTGCATAACATACCATGAATGGGCTTTTTTGAGTTCTATTCTAATTAGTAATTGTAATAACAGAAAAGTTTTAAAATATATTTAAACTATCTGAAATAGTTTAGATTTATCCTTAAATTATATTTTGACTTAAAATTATGCTTTTCGTCAAATTATTGAGTTAAAAGTGTGCTTCTAATTAACAAAAAATATTAAATGTCACGAGGATGCCACATGAATACCACATGGCACCCTAATAGATTTTCACTTCCTCGTAAACTAAAAGGAAAAGGGTTTAAAATACCCTTAAACTATTTAAAATAGTTTATATTTACCCTTAAACTATATTTCGGCTCAAAACTATCCTTCCCATCAAATTATTGGGTCAAAAGTGACCTTCTTATTGGTGGAAGTTGTTAAATTGCACGTGTATCACATTGACTAAATCACTAAAATCTTAATTACACATTTTCTCCTCATTTCATTATTTTCAAAAAACGATTTCACCCCTTCTCCCTCAATTCGCGGCTAAGGTTTCACAGTTTTCTTCGTCGCTGGGTTTCAAAGTGGATATTTGTGGTTATAGGTTAGTAAACTTTTTTCTTAT